AGCTTTTATATGGCTTTTATTAATAGAAAATAAAATTTTGACTTTCTACTGTACATATACAGGGTAATTTTGAAAGTTTGTTCACCATTTGATCTTGTACAGCAACGCCGTTAATGTTCGGCAACATTACACAGGGTACCCCAAAATTAGAGGTTAATATTTAACTGTGGATTCTACATCTCAAATTAAAAGCAAAACTTCCTATAACATGAGTCCAAGAGTACCTTATTTCAGAGATACAGGCTGTTTCTGTTAAAAAAGCTATAGTCCTGAATAATGAATGAAAATAAACCATACTATTCCCTTTTTAAACCACTACTCTACTACAAAAAGTGGATTAACGAAGTACTTACCACTCTAATACCAATCCACAACAAGAAACAATAATACACGAAAGCGAAAACACAGCCTTAAATTTTGAAACCAATAGCCGGGATCCACGATAAATCCCGGCGGTAGTTGATGGAGTCATTGAAAACGCGTCATAACCGGTATTCCTATGAATACCGGTGCCGGGAGGCTAGACACAGCGATAATAAAATATTGATAAAGTGCCTAATGACTAAATAAACTACACTAATCTTTAATGTTATGATGGAATTCTAGAGCTTTATGTTCAGCCAGAAATTGTGAAGGCAAGAGTGTGAGTCGAGTCAAACTGTAAATTAAAATTTTACTTGGAATCATATAAATTTTCTTTAACATTTAATTGATGCTTATTATTAGAAATTGAATAATTTTCTTGTAAGATTATTAATGACCGACGCCTGTTATTTAATAACAAGCTTTATTTATTTCAATAAAATAAATAATTGACCACAATATTTCTGTGTTTCACTCTCCACCCGCAAATAGGACCCACTTTAAACTGTTTCTCCGCTCAGAAACTAAAGTCACCGCTCGCCAATTTACCATCTTGCCAAGTTTCTGAATTTGGGGTCTCACAATAGCAACTGGACACGCTTAACCTAGAGTTAAAGCCAACCCGGAGGTGACCAATAGTACTTACTAGCTTCTTTATTTGTTCTTGCAACATATCTATTATCATTTGTTTATAATTGTTTTTTTTTTTGTCTAAAATTGTGTCTTTGAGGCACGCTATGTGATCATTCTCTCTACATAGTATGCAAAAGAATTTTGGTTGCCGTTCTTGTAGAGACATGACATGCATCTCACCTCGTACGTTGTTGTTTATCTAGAACAGTCTCTACAGTAGTAGGTATGTATGATTCAGTTGTGAAAGGAAATATTGCAATCCCTTCAAGATAAAATGTTGTATGCCATTCAGGGGCGCCGACTACGTGGGTGCACGGGGGCTCGAGCACCCACGAGACCTAGACAGTGGGTGCGAAGCACCCACGTGCATAGACATAAAAACTGATAATCCTCTCTAGTTCCTGGAAAACTGGTTAATTTTGTACCTCGGGTTCCTGAAATCTGGTTAACCAAATGTCAAAATAGTTACCGGCCATCGGATGTCGGTTCTGTTAGTTTTATCAAGGTTTTATCTGTAATTTCTATCAATTATGTTTTATTTCCATATTTGCGTTTCCCAAAGTAACCGGAATTTTCAGTGAACATCTGTTGACCGATTCGGTTACTTTAGCTCTGTTCCAGCAGACATGAAAACCTTTCTAGAACGGTAATTTCCAGTTGACCAATCCATTAGGAAAAATGTTCAACTTATTGAAAAATAGGTGGGCAACTGGAAATTATTGGTTCTAGAACGGTTCTCATGTTTGTTGGAACAGAGCTAATGGTTAACGTTTGGTTATATTTGGACCATAGCCTTATATAGGTTATGTTCCGATATTAACTCTGTCAGTACTAAACTTACTGGACGCCATTCCGATATTATTTTCAGTACACTGGATTCAGTCGATTCAGTACTGAATGACCACAAGAATTCCCTGTTGAAATTAGAACGGCAAATGACAGTAAAATCAGCACAGTAAATCCAGTACTGGCAGTTGATATCGGAACATGGTGGTACTTTGTTTAGAAGAAGAAGAAAATGAAGAAAATCAGAAATCGTTTATGGAGAATAGCGTAAAACGCATATTTTCGGTACATGCTGCTTGGAAAAGAATATCTGCAGAAGAGTTTTCTACACTTTACAGTAGAGTGTTTGCACAGCTATCAGACCAATACCCACCTCTACCACGTCAAAACCCCCTACTCCAGCACAGCCATCATACCACTACCCTCCTCCACTGTACCCCCTTTCGTGAAGCTCCTACCCTGAGGAGGCACTTTTTACCCACCTGCACTGTAAACCCTCTTCCGTAAAGCCCTCCATTAATCTATTTTCAAAAGACTCTTACCCTGAGATGGCACTTTATTATATCCCTTCACTTTCTTGAAAACTAAAGAATATTTAACCAATTCTTCGATTTGTATTCGAATTCGTCAATTTTGGGGTTGGCCCGGGTCAAATCCCCAAAATTTCAGATCAAAAGCGCCGCCGATCTAGAGATTTTCCCACGGTATCGAAAAACTTTCCAGGCTCAAGTGCCCTCGGCTATCAGACCAATACCCACCTCTACTACGTAAGTGGTCCACCAGATTTACAAGCAAAATGTTATTATTGCAATGGAGTTTAGAACACTATTGACGAATACAAATGCAGGAATTGTTGAAATATTCTTTGGTTTTCAAGAAAGTGAATGGATATGGAAAGAGGTACCTCTTCAGAGTAGAAGCTTTTTGACGTAATGGAGGTGGGTATTGCTCTGATAGCTGTGGGGTGGGTATTGGTCATAAACAGGTGCATTAATTTTATTGAAATAATAAATATTTTACTTGTGAATCTGCTAGTCTGATAGCTAGGGGCACTTGAGCCTAGGAAGTTTTTCGATACCGTGGGAAAATCTCTAGATCGGCGGCGCCTTTTGAAAATAGATTAATGGAGGGCTATGATGGCTATGCTCGAGGGGGGCTTTTACGTGTTAGAAGTGTGTATTGTTCTGATAGCTGTGAAAATACTCTACTCTTTACCCTTATAGCCGTCCTTTTTTTCCAATTTTAGCAGACACCGCAAAAAACTTACGCAAGCACCAAGCAACACTAGTTCCCGCAGCTGGAAAACGAATATGGAAAGGTGTGAACATGGGCGCCGGTAGCGGGGTGCAAGGGGGTGCACTTGCACCCCCCTGTCAGAAATACATTTAAAAATTTATTTTTATTTTATTAAATTTTTGTTTTTAATAGTTACTGTTTGAAAAATTGGCGAAACGAGAAACGATGGCCTCCTCGCACTCTTTGTTTCCCTCGACATTCCTCGGCTCACTTCCGGCTCGGATCGGGTTACCTTTTTTATTTTTATTTCGCGCGACATCAACCTGTAGAATGGCGGAAATTTCAAATTTACTCAAATTCTAGTTTATTGATATAAATTTCTTTAACTTCTACGATTTGATAGCCCGAAAAAGGTATTAAATTGCAAGAAGCCCGTGCCCAGGGGCGGACATATCACCGGGCAGTTCGGTGCGCCGCCCAGGGGTCCACGGTCCAAAAGGGCTCCACGATGCTGCGGAAAATTTTCAATATGTAGAAAAAAATGTCATACATCATTCAAAACAAGTATAATAATATTTTAATAAAGCTACTTTCAATAAGGACTCAATTCCTATCTTCTAAATTATCATTTACCATACCGCCCATGCCTAATAATATTCCGTTCCGTCGTTTCTGTGGTTGAGAGCATCTGGCAACGCTGAGCGTGCTTCCGAGGTATTCCGAATATATCCGACCATAATTCCGAGAAACACAGATCGACCCAACAGTCCATATATTGCGATTTGATTACCACTATTTCCAGGCCGCATTTTTATTTTCCTACTTTTTATGTGACACTCAAAGGCAGTGGCGCACCCAGGTGGGGGGCATCGGTCCAGCCCCCCCCCCCCCTCCTAGGCCGCCCGTACAAAACTGTACTTTTACGTACAAAAAAAATTTGATATCATGGCGTGGCACCCTGACACGTCAATTTTTTATTTAGATTTTTATACACAAGCCACAACCTTTGTAGTCCCACCATTCCCCAAACATCTTTTCTGGGTGCGCCACTGCTCAAGGGATAGGTTAGGCCTAGGGGCCCCCAAATATATTTTGTCCTTAGAGCCACTCGTCCCTAAATCCGCCACTGCCCGTGTCACTTTCCACCGAGGTGAAAATATCATAAAGTGCGTTTTTTTTTTTAAAGATAAAAGTCAAACTGACATTAGGTTGGCAATACAATGTAAAATTGTCAATGCTTTCAAATTTTGCATGTAGAAAAGGCTTGTGTTGCCAACATAGTTACTAAATTTTTGACTTGGGGAATTATCTTTAAAAAAAAACAGATTTTATAATTTACTTAATCAACTAGGAAAATTATTTTTCTCAAAGCTCAAAATAACAGTTTTAGGGCGTGGCACTCTGAAAAAATTTCACGTCTCCCGCAGCTCCTGCGTCGGGCATTCACCTTCTTAAATTAGTAATTTGAACCAATATAACTATCCACGCGACGCCACTGCCCGTATGCACCTCCCTGAAATTAATCCTGGCGGCGCCCATGGGTGTGAACTACGTTGTTTGAAATGTATTACCATTCCCTTCTTAGACACTCGTCCGAATGTAAATTAAAGAATGCTGGTAAACGTTTTTGGGCGTGGCTTCTGGAGGGCTGTTAATTCCCCCCCTCATAAATGCCGGTGCATGAACATCAGCACCCAGGAGGTTTTCTGAAACCCGGCTCCCCTGATGCCATTCGACCCCTAAGGTCTTTTTGTACCTCGTTCGAACGTTGAGCTCAACACAGAAAGACCTATTTTTTTTCCTAGATATTATGCGATTTTGAAAAATTTTCGCCCTTTGAATATACAGCAGTTTCTCTAGAAGACCTTTCAGTGTTTGTATCAATATCCGATGCAAGTTTTCAATGTTTGTTATTTTGAGTAACAAAAACATTGAACTAAATTCTATTATAAAATAATGAACACATATTTAAAAAAAAATCATTTTTCAATAGTTCACAATACAATAATAGCCAAAATCAAAACAACATTGGCATATAGTTGTATACCGACTCCGGAGATTGCCGAAGGCTCGGTAGCGGCGGTTTTATTAACTCCTTCTTCGGCTTCCATGAAATCTACGATAAAGTCGAAAATGGATTCTATTGGAACATATTCAACTGATTTTGCGTATCTTCCATACCTCTGCTGACAATCATGCCCGTCAATCAGTAAACCAACTTGAACATCCCCGCACATGATCGGCCCATTCTGTGGCGCGACGCAATCGGAAAACTCACTTCCATCTCCTTTATGATCGACGAAACATTTCAATTCCAATGGTGCTCCTTCGCGATCTGCAAACATAGCATTTTCCTGTGATGATTTTCCAAAACCATAAATAGTGAAACTTCCGCAATCCGGAGTTCTTCCTTGCTTGTTCTGTGACCGAGACCAACCTAATCGCAACCAGCCACCGACTGCATGGTGGAGTATTCGGTGGCGGGGCACAGGCAATTTTACTAATTTTATGTTTGGCATGATAGAAAAAATGCTTTTTTCTAGCCTAAACACAAAGATATTTCTTCGTTTTCGATTGGCTGTTCGACTTTTTGATTGCATAACAGACATTTCATGAGCCAAACTGGCAATTTCATTAACGTCGTAATCGATGAAGTTAATATTACCAATTGTGATGTTTTTTATAGTTTCATTGGTATCAATTCGAACATTGGTAATATTGTTGTAGGTTTCATTAATAAAATAATTGGTAATAATGGTATTTTCAAAGGTGAGATCGATGTTAGTATTGTCAACAATGTGCTCAGATTTGTTAATTTTAGTCTCATTCCTAAAAGAATGAATTGGTGCTGCAGGAGGAGGATGCGACGGATACACAATTATCGGTTTCTGCGGTTTCTCTTTCGGTTTCTCCATACCAACTATAGTATTGAACACATCAAGTATACTTTTTACAGCATTGGCACCAGCTGTGACATCTCCAATACCAATACGACTTGAAACTAATGTAGCAGTTGCGATAGGTCTCGGTTGCGATTTTCTTGTGGGTCTTTCCGCCACTACTACTACATATTCATCATGACAACGCTTCCCATCTCCTGAATGTCCATGTTGGGAGCCAAATACAGACATTACTATGATTATTAGGAGATATATGATGCGCATTTTGAATTTTTTTGTCTAGGCAAACGGTATGACTGTTGTGTTAAACAATGACAAAACAAACTGACAATCCTGATAATTTATTGTCACCCAGCAATGAAAGGCAGCCAAAAAAGTTCCTTTCAACTTTATTTGGCATCGCATCATCTTTGGAAATTTGGCAGGTTGGTCCTCGAATAAAGCCGGCGCCACACGATGCGTCCAACTATTGGACCCAACGTTGCATCAACGATGGATATTTACAATATTTGGCATTCTAGCAAGAATATGTGTCAGGTGCTCAACTTTACACTCAAATTCTAAAATCTGGTAGAATTCAGGGCTATTATCAAGACCAACCCACGGCTTATGAGACAGTTTTTACAAATTAGTCTTAATGAGACACTGGAGCAAAATTGCAGAATGATATATCCGAAATCCTGCTAAAATTTCGCTTCTATTCTGTGGTATTCCTAGCAGACATAAAACAGCATTTTTTGCAGATCAAAATTCACCCCGAATATAGGGATTACCAGCGATTACTTTGGCGTTTTCATCCTAATGACGACTCACCACAAGAATGGCGTCTTAATACTGTCACTTTTGGATTTAGTTCTAGTCCATTTTTGGCTATAAGAACTCTCCGAGAATTAGCCACTATAGAAAATGAAAATGTTTCTCAAGCATCTGACGTTTTATTAAACAGCATATTCATGGACGATATTTGTTCAGGAGCCAACACAATAGAGGGCGCTTTACAGCTTCAAAAGTTGGGCGTTTTACAGCTTCAAAAGTTGGGATGTTTCGAGCTTCGTGAGTGGGCGAGCAACGACTCCAGAATGTTGTCCCATTTACCACCATCCGATTGTCAATTCCCCCGTTACTTTTGAAAATGATGAATTTACTTCTATCAAAGTTCTTGGCCTCCAATGGCATCCGTCTTCAGATACGTTCACCTATTCTTGTACAACATCTGGAAAAACCTGTACCAAAAGAAATATTCTATCTGCAATAGCAAAAATTTGGGATCCCTTAGGTTTTTTATCGCCAGTTTCTTTCCTCGACAATTATGCAAAAACTTTGGTTGTGTAATATTGGTTGGGACGAAGTAGCCCCAGATTCAATTAAAAATCTTTGGATTCAGTTTCGTTACGAATTACCAAACCTTTCAGATATATCTTTACCGCGACATATATTTTCTAATAATATACAACGTTGCCAACTATTAGGTTGTAGCGATGCCTCCGAGCTTGGGTACGCTTGTTGTGTATACATTAGAATTGAACTACCCAATGATCAAATCCGATCATCTTTGGTAATCGGCAAGTCAACACAAAATCAATCCCCAGATGGAACTTCTTGGAGCCACCCTCTTAGCCGACCTTCTAGATCTAGTAATCCGTATTTACTCTCCCTTAATAATCATAGATGAAATCCTAGCATTTTCTGATTCTCAAATCTCAAGTAACTTTACATTGGGTAACAGCATCCCCACATAAGTGGCGAACCTTTGTAGCCAATCGCGTATGCCATATTCAAGAGACCATTTCAAAGGTACCTTGGTATCATATACCTTCTCATTCCGAGTTGAGCTCTCAAAGTGAAAGCATCTGCCGAGCGAAGAGAGATCTCAATTCAAGCCAGTTAGTTTGTGCGCCGAGGGGAAATATGTTGACTAGTGCCATTTTCCGGAGCCCGATCCACCTAGTGTGTGTTCAAAGTGCCAGTTAGTGTGTGTTCAAAGTACCAGTTAGTGTGTGCCTCCAAGTGCCAAGATACCAGACCAATCTATGGAAGAGTGGAAGGCTAACATTACAAGCCAATTCCAAGGGCTGCAAGAGGAAAACCATGCCTTGAAACAAGAGCTAGAGTTGGTAAAAAAGAAAACCTAAGGCTAAAGGTCGCCGAAAGCGCCTTCCACACGGCAGACAATGTCAAGATCGCCGAAATTCGCCAACAAATCGGAAATCGGCAACAACAGCGACAATGGTGCCGACTCCAGCGAATCAGACACCGAATCCCAGGTCTCAACCCAGTCACGCCGCCGTAAAAAATCTGCCAGCAGCAACGAAAACGAAAGTCAGCAACCGCAGAAAAAAGTGCAAAAAACACCAGTGCCAGCGACCACCTTGGTCATAGTCTCCAGCAGAAAACCAATAGGTGAACCAGCGAAAACCTTACCCACCGCCAACCCCACTGTCAAAAAGGCGTTCCAAATCAAACCGCCGACGGCCGTCGAGATTCCGGCCCCCCCAACCGCCAAGGGAAAAAGTCCCGCCAATTGTGCTTAGAAATAAGCACAAATACAATGAGATTACGGCCCACCTCAAGACCCAGAAAATTTCATTCGGCCCGGCCACTAACACTAGAGAGGGGATCAAGCTGCACCCTACCTCAATTGACGACTACCGAAAGATGCAAGCCTTCCCCGAGAAGAATGGAGAACCATTTCACTCCTTCTCTCTCCCAGAGGAAAAGAAGCTAAGAGTAGTATTACGAAGTCCACTAGAAGACTGGACTACTGAGTTCATAAAAGAAGAGCTCGAAAAAGAAAACTTCCACCCGATATCAGTGATTAGATGGTACAACGCCAAGCGAGCCCCAGTCGCCCTAGTACTGGTAATCCTACCAATCGCCGAGACAGCCATCTACAAACTCAACTACATCAATCATATAAAAGTTACAGTTGAGACCCAGAAAACCCAAGAACGCTCCACCCAGTGCCACAGGTGCCAACTCTACGGGCACTCGCAATCTAAATGCCGAGCAGTACCGATATGCGTGAAGTGCGCCGGCGACCATCACACTTCAACTTGCACTAAACCCAGGGAAGAAGCCACATGCGCGAATTGCGGAGGACCGCATCCGGTCTCATACCAAGGCTGCCCAAAATATCCAAAGCATCAGAAAAAACCCATCTACAAGCCTGCCCCCTAGTCCAACTTTGTCTGGGACCAGCAGCCAAAGATGCAACCAACCGCAAACACAAACCAACAAAGTCAGCGACAACAACAACAAAAACAAACTCCAACATTAGAAGCACTACTTCGACCGATGAATACCATTCAGCAGCACCTAAACGACATGTTACAAGCACAAAACCAAAACTTGAATGGCTGAACACCCAACGGAACCCCACTTTATCCGTATAGTAACTTGGAACTGCTGTACAATCAAACAGAGAAAGCTTGAACTCGAGAGGTTCCTGGAGAAACATAGGATTGATGTCCTCCTAGTCCAAGAAACTCAACTTAAACAAGCTGACCGATTCTCCCTGCAGAACTACACAATCACGGACGGCAGAGGCGGTGGGACCCTCATAGCTGTAAAAAACAAATCAGACATCACAAGGTCTTCAGCCCAGCAATTGGCCTCGAAGGCACTTTTACAGCCCTGCAAACAAGGGGACGACAGCTAATAGTGGGTTCCATTTACTTAGCCCCAAACCGGGATCTCCTGGACGATCATCTCGATGCTCTATTCCAAGATCCAAATCTCCCAGTGCTCCTTGGCGGAGATTTTAATGCCAAACACTCTGACTGGGGTGACTACTATACCAACCCCAAAGGAATCACTTTACTCGAAGGCGCCGAGAGACAAAACTACACGATTTGGAGACCAGACGAACCAACCCGACTAGGACGTGGTATTTATTGGACTTCTACATACACAAAAATGTGCGTCCACTAAACCAACCGCAAGTACTCCATCAACTAACCTCCGACCACTTACCGGTGTTAGTTGAATTCGGAGACCCAGACGACCAGACGCGACCCAGAAACAAGACATTTTTCTTCACAAACTGGACAACATTCACTAACTTACTGGAAGACCAAGAAGCCGTTGGGAACATAACCAATCCACATGAGCTCGACCAAGCCGCAGACTTCGGACAAATGATCCCTATATAAAACGGCGGGACAACCAGATGAATAGGGACATCAAAAGAAGAGCCACGGACGCCTATAACAACCATTGGCAGGAAAAACTCGAGGAGACGTTACAACTAGGCAAGGACCTCTACACATAAGGCCGAAAACTAACTAAAGGCCCCCGCTGTCTCATGCCTAGCATTAAAGTCGGCAATATCACCATAGACGACAATGCACTTAAGGTAGAAGCCTTTGCCGATAGCTTTCAAGAGCAGTTCACTTCCAATCCCCCGCTTCACCAAGACCAGGACCAGAATGTAGACGAGATAATCCAACTCGCACTAAACCAACCTCAAGACCACCAGCCTCCAGTCTTCAACACCGACCAGACAAGACAAATTATCGCCGCCCTGGAGCGCAAAAAAGCCCCCGGTATCCCCAACATAGCGCTGAGGAAACTTCCTCAAAAACAAATAGAGGACCTCACTCGTCTAATACAAGCCATTTTCACCCTGGGCCATTTCCCCGTCAGCTGAAAAACGGCAGCATCGCTGACCATAAAGCAAGGCGAATCCAGTAACAACACCTGAAGTTACCGTCCCATCAGCCTGCTCCCTGCACTTGGGAAAGTCGCCGAAAGTGATACAAAATGGGACCCCCAAAACTCAGTCGACACACTAAATCTGATACCCGACGTAGAAATGGGTTTCAGGAGCGGGCATTCAATAACAACCCAAACCACTCGACTGTCTTCCATCATATTTTAAGGGTTCAACAGGAATATGGAAACTATGGGGCTATATTCTCGGACATAGCAAAAGCCTTCGACAAGATGAGACTGGAATTCTGTGTCCTCCTGCCGTAATAAGAACCATGTTATCGTTTTTATGTAGCTGACCCGTTACTAGTTGCGTTTGAATAACGTTATTTTGTGCTTCAGTGTCGATTATGGCTGGGTATTCTATGTTATTTATCTTGATTGTGATGCATGATATCCTGCTACTAAACTTCCTTAGGACTAGGATGGCAGGGATATCTATAGTTTCGCCATCCTCGCTCGTTTGGGTGTTTTGGCTGACCTCTACAAGTTGCGCCAAAGTGTCCTGGTTTCCCACAGTTGTGGCACACAGGGTTATTTCTCTGGTTTCTTAGTTGCCATTACTGTCACCGCCTAACCTTTGGCTTCTGCAGACAGCTG